TTTTAATTACCTTTTGGATCTTACTTTGTTTGCCCAGCTGGCGCATCCCTAAATTCCTTTCTTGGGGCCCATTCCTCTTATCACTTCCTTCTTGGCCCTGGTTAGTATCTCCTCTCTTTGAAGTGTGCATGTCAGTGTAGAGCAAGGACAAACAAACAGCGCCAGCTGCTTAGTAAGAAACTCCCAGTGTATCACTGATTAGCCTTTTTTTTTTAAGCTTCTTTGTTTCACCCCTCCCTTCTAAGTACTAAGTAAATTCTTTTACTTAGAATATTTCTCTAAAGTTTTCTGAATCTATTTGCCCTATACCTTTTACATATGGTTTTATTCAGGGTTTAATGAACAAACTCATATGCAACCTTTTACACTATGCAAAAAGCTCACAAGTCAACACACAAAACTTAATGTTGAGCAGTATTGCAGGTTGTATGTATGGGCAAGTAACACAAGAGAGTTAAACCAAAACACCATCTCTTGCATCTAACCACCTGATATCAAAAAAAAATGACTTCTAGGGTGAACTTCCCTTTGCTTTGCTTCCTTGGGCACACCCATGCTCCCACCCTCTGCCTGCTTCTTAGGGCAGGTAGGAGTGTGCATCTGCCTCCTCAGGCAGCATCTTAGGTCTCTGGCAGCAGCTTGCTGTGGTTGCCCTAGCATGAAGGGAAGGGCTCCTGCAGAAATATGGGCTGTCTGTGGTACAGGTGCTACAGGTGAAAACACAGTGACGTGTCAGGACCCAAGAGATGAGTATGGGGGCAGGAAGTCTCTCAGACAATTTACACAGTGGCCATGCTGGCTAGGAGAAAAAACGTATCAAATTTCCTAGTTGCTGATTGCTGGGGACTAGCTCAGCAAGTCTTCATCCAGCCCCCCCGGAGGTGGGTGTTTGCATTCTCCCTATGTGCTCTCTGATCTCTATGATTGGCACTAATTGCCAAATGAATGTTTATTGCGTAATGACTTCTAAGTCCAATTTATCCAGTTAATCGAGCAGTTGGAGAAACGTGTTTCAACAGAAATCTGTTTCTTGTAACAGCCGTGCTGTCTTGTGTTACATTCCCTACAATGTTTGCTCTCTGGAGGAGAAATGTGGATATAGGAAGTGTAAAAATTAATATACAGCAAGTCTTAGAAATGTGTTCCTTTCTTTAATTTAAAGAGAGTGGACCAAGACTCTGAGTATCCTGCCTCTGAAGCTTTTTCCCTTCAAAAGTCGAGGTATCCACAGGAGCCTTGGGGGCCTGTGACAAGCTTGGAAACCATGCAGCAGCTGCAAGATCATCATGAGGCCTGTGAAGAAGGTGAGCTAAAATTCCGCTTGCCGCAAGCAAAACGAACTGTTCTTGGTCCAGCTTTGTGGCTCTGGTCTGAACAGGCTCTTCCAAAGCTTCAGATCATAAGAAATGGTTCATAATAAGATGTCTTTCATCTAACGGAGAAAGGCATAAGAAGGATCAATTGCTGGAGTTCAAGGTAAATCTTAAATTGCTAAGAGAAGGATAAACTCTCTGTCTCCTGGAGATTTCAGGTCAAGACAAGGATGAATACTGCCCATGAACACACACTGTATGGTCAAATACAAGTTAATAGGCTGTAGGAAACCAGGTGAAATTACCTGGCATATTTTCAGTAGCAGGAGTTGCTCTGTGTGACTTTCACATCTATGAATAATTGTGTGGTTTTGCTTTGATTCCCATGCAACATTTTCCTCACTAATTAGCTAACTAAATATAACTTTCGTAACGTCTGCAACCACAAGTGCTTGCTGAAGTTTGAAAATAGAGCTGCGGTGGATTTAAAAAACAGAAAAGGAGGGAAATTATCTCCCATCAGTGCTAGAAGTACATGTGCAGTGTAGAAAGCTGATAGGAGACAGGATTTTAAAAACTGAGTTAACCATTCTTTTAAGACTCAAAAGTCAGCCTTGTAGAACAGAACGGTGACACGTCTCAAGAGCATCCACCTGAGTGCAGGAAGTCAACTTTTGCAGTTGTAGTCATCAAGGGTTCAACTAATAGCACAGGATACACCTATCTGCTTACAATGCACTGTCTGAATGCATTATGCAGCATAGTGTCTCCAAAGGAGCTATCTTGACATTGGTGAAAAGCTTCATGTTTTCCTTTGGCAGAAAGGTTGCTTGCCTTCCTTATGTTTCTTTATTATTTTTGTTTGCCCTTCTCTGCTAGGGTTTTCCTTTTGATAGCCACCAATCCCTTAGGATTGTTCCTAGCTCAACTGAAATACTTTTATCTGAAATCTGTTATTGGAATACTTTAATGGTACTAACTACACATGGTCCACTTTGCAAAGAAAGGTATTGATTAGAGAAGTGCCAGAACCTTTTTGCTCCTTCCCCAAGTGTCAAGTTGTTTTTCTTGCTTCTTTCTGTCATCAGATGTATTTCTCTGTTTCTGAGCTGGCCTGAGAGATTATGAAAGAGAATGAAAGTGATCTGAAGGACAATAAGCATTAGATTTATGTTTTCTTCAAAAATGACACTCCTCTTTGAGAAAGTTTGAAAAAGCCCTTTATTGCCTTAGAGATACTAGGGAGCACCTTCACTTTGCATTAGAACTAGAGATTTGGAGCAGCTGCTTTCTCCTGTCTGTTGGCTGTGTGCCTTTACAGGTAACGACTCGCACTGCAGGGGCCGCTGACGTCCCAGCTCTTTGCCCATCCTCGCTGCGCGGATGGCTCAGGACAGCTCTGCTTCTCGTGGGGCTCTTCCTGATGCCTTGCATTCTGCTTCAGGAACAGCTTGGCCATCCGTGTAGCAAGGCCAGATGGTTTGTTGAGGCAGCAGCCTCATTAGCTGTCCTTGCTTTTGAGTAGGAACTCTGATAAAGGAAATTTGTGTTTGCCCACAGAAGAGTGGAGATGCAAATAGACCATAGAAGGATTTTATACCTAATTGTTCATTAGGCATGTTCATTAGCTTACTGAGGAGTGCCACATATAACATCAGGGGTGCATTCCTGTAGTTGCAGTCATCATTCTGAGCACAGGTAGTCCCAGGTGAAGTTTGCCACCTGACAGATTGGTAATCTAGACTCACCAGTTGTTTTTGGAGCTGTGCTACTTGCAAAGGTTAACCTGTACACATGAAGCAAACATTTGACCAAACAGTGGTTCTTTTGTATTTAACGTATGACAACCTTGCCTGTACATGTGGAAACTAAGCGTCTGCAAATGCACTGGTAAAACATGTGAAAGCTATCCAAGTTATGAATTACCTCACGTTAATTCCATCTCCTTGATAAATGCTGTAATAATCACATGAGTGATCTGAATGTCCACAAAATCTTGTAGGAAAAAACAAGGTGAAGAATTCACTTGTGACGTATGTGACAGGGAAAAAGTTTGCCACCTTCTCTTCCTGTTCTTTTATAGATCAAGAAGATGAGAACAGAACTATTAGCCTTATTCTATTTTCTGTTCCAGATCAGCTTTCAGTCATTCCCAGCATGTGATATAACTATCCCAGAGACAGAGTCTTGCTAGTTCATACTTACCCATATATTTTTTAAGCAAGTGAAGTCATCAGTCTCTTTCTTCATGATAGCCCAAGAGCTGCTCAGTAACTGGATGAAGTCCAAACTGCAACTGGAGCTGTGTGATGGAGAAGAGGAAGTTGACTCTGTCCTTCTGGAAAAGCCTTCTGCAGCCCCTCTGAAGTATGAGCGGTTTGACGGTGAGAGCACAGCAAAGCAGTTCTTGGCTTCCTCTTTGAGGACGTGCTGGGGAAAGGGGCCAGACCTCATGGCTTGTCAGGCTGAGGGGTAAAAGTTGTTTTGAGGTCAGGAGAGTGGACTCCGTAGAAACACGATTAGATGTGATGATTTTTCTGCCCACAGCAGCTTGCTGTAGGGCTGCACAAATGTACCTTGCAAACATTCAATGTCTCCTTTTGTCAAAGAGAAAAAGGAACTTCTTTTGTGAATGGGTATTTTTGAGGCCTGTCAAGTTTATACAGCCATTTGAGATGCTCAGAGGCAAGGCAGTAAAAAATGGATGAAACATTGTTACTGCTCTAGTGTGTTCAATGGGAGACTGATTAGGACTGGGGATAAATGGATTGCAGTCAGTGTGCCCGCGTTCATCAGAAATGCATTCACAGTCTGGGGAAGTGATCCCTTTAATTACATTAGGCTTTGTGATCTGAGACAGCAGTTTATTCATTTCAGACTAGCCTGAGATAATCTGAATTCCTCCTTTCAGACTTGTGCAGTTATCTGGAACATGAAATGGAAAGTTATTCTGTCCAGAAGTACCTACAGCATCTTCTGCAGAGTGAAGCTGTGAACTGTGGGATAATGAAATGCCTTAGACTTGAAGACATCAAGGAAAAACGAAAGCCTACAGATCCACGAATAATCATGGAGCTCAGACACAGGCAGGTGAGCAGGCAAGGCAGCACAGTTAAAAGGAATAAGATGGAGGATTATAGGATTAGAGTAAATGTTCAGTGATACCTCCCCAGTATTCTCTCCCAGCCTGCAATAATCTCTGACTTGGAGGCAAATACCCAAGGATACTCTTCCACAGTTCAACTGAAACATCAGTGTGTTTCTGTGTGCATGTTAGCCATTCAACAGTGGCTTGCGCCGTCAATTTTCACTACATCTGTTCTGGTTTTCCCCCTTTCTGAAAACTGACAGGAAAAACTGCCACAGCACTTAGTTCTGAGTTCGCTTCCATCGAGAATTACTGGTTTAATTTCACTCTCTCAAGTGAAGTGTTTTGCTGGTCTGAGAGCAGAATCTCTGCAGTCAGTGCCAGCTGTGGAGAGAGTTGCTTGCTTCATGTGAAAGGTGGATTGTGACTCACCCTGTCAGTGTACAATGAGCTTCAAATTCTTCAGCCTTTGGTGTTTGCTTTGATTTTTGTGGATTTTCTCCTTCCCAGGTGAAAGAAAACCGAATGAGGCGTCAGAAGGCATTAGAGCTTCAGAGACAAGAAGTGTCCCTGAAGAAAGCAGTTCTGTCTGAGGTCAGGCTCCAAGCACAGGAGGAGGACAGAAGGAAGGCCCTGAAGGCTAAGAAGGAGGAGGAAGAGATACGGAGGGAAATGGTGAAGCTGCGGAAGGAAATGGCTGAGAAGAGGCACACTGTGGCAGGGGCACGGAGAATGTAAGAAGGAGAGGGGGGCATGGAAAGAACAATATGAAGAGCTCTTATCAGCTCCTTTTGCTAAATGTAAGAGGAGTGGTGGTCCCAAAGGAAACAGCTGTTATTCCTCTGTCTCTGAACTCTCCCATAACCTTTTAGTCCTTTGTTACCAACATTAGTGGCAGAGTTTAACACGAGTGGGAAGATGGTCTAAATATACTTTATCCTCCCATCAGCCATTACTGGTATGTGCACTGAATCACGAAGTAGGAGTGTGTTTGCATCACTGTGCATTCTCTCCATCATCTCTGTGGTCACATCCAGCCTTGTTAATGTCTAATGCAGCATGAAAGCCACTAGACAGAAAAATAAATTAAAAAATAGCCTGTGTTCAAAGTCTAGCACTTGCAGTACTTCTTCTGTTATGAAAGACTAAAGAGCATTCTTGGCTGAGAATTCTGAAAAGACATATTTTTTCATTTTTCTGAGCTTGGATTGTCACAGAGATGTCACTTTTAGGGACACCAGTTATTTACTTAGGCAGCCCTGAGATCCAAAATCATCTCATACAAGTACTTTAGTGAAATATTTGCTGAAATGCTTTACCATTTTCTTCTGCCTGCTATATTTAGGACTGTTTAATCTCTGGGCCCCCAAACCATGACAGAGGTGGTTTTTAAGAAGGCTGAGTTAAATCATCACTGACTTTCTAAGCTGTAGAGGTGGTTCTCTTAGGATTGGCCAAAAAGATCGTATATCATTGTATTAGAGCTGTATGTTTCTTCACTTTCCAGGGAGGGGAAGAGACAAGAAAAATCTCAGAAGCTGTCAATGCAGGAGGTATCTGTTACTATGTCACCACTCCTGGCCTTGAAGAAAGAAGAGCAAGGAGAGGAGAAACAGAGAAAAGCTCTGGAGCTGCGGCTCAGGATTCACACCACTAAGCAGAGAGTGAGCATCACCTTTATTTATCTGAGACTCTGAGCTACCTGCCATTGGCTACTGTTTACAAAACTGAAGTAAAAATTCCTGATTATGCAGGATTTTTTCCTTTTTTCCAAGACTTCCTGATACCAGGGAAGTAGGAGAGCAGGGCAAATAGTATCTTGTAAGACTAGGAACAAGAAATCCTGAGGTGCCAACCCCAGTGTGCCTGTGCCTCAGGTGTACTCAGTGGGATGTTTCACTTACAATTGCAGAGCAGATGTGGCTCTCAGGACAGCTGTGAACATAAAGGCTTCTGCCTTTAAGGAATGGGCAGATGTACAGAGGAGGCAGCAGAGCAAGATTTGTTTTCCCTTGAGGAAGGAAGTAAAAGAGGAAAGTGGCAGAAAAAAGGCCTGAGAAGCCCTTACTGTGTGTATGGGAAGGTATTTTAAAGATTGCCTTGCAGACCCTGGTGCAGGAGCAGGGAGAGGAAAGAGAAGTGGTGCGGCCTGGGATGAATTTTGAGCTAGGTTTCCAGGAGTTGAAGTCTGTCAGCACAATTGCAGTAATGGGTTCCTCAAAGATCCACTTCCACTGGGTACAGTAGGATGTTCTATGCTATCACAACAGCTCCTTTGAGGCAAACACACAGACTTCAATAATTCCTAGTAGAAACCTGTTTCTTTAACCTTCATTATTCTGATACTGTGGTCAGTTCTGGGTTAAATATGGTGTATCAAATACTTGCAATAAAAGAATGGTTTTTTGTACTGAATAATTTTATACGGGAGCCTCAGCAAAGGGAATAAATTTCCCGAGTGCGGGTATGAATGGCATCCGTCACATAATGTTTTTAATTAAAGGAGCAGTCATCATCATTCATGTCTATTTATCTACATCCAGATTTATTTATTTTTTAATAGAAAAATCCCATAGCTTTTACGGTGATTCTCCTCGTGGCTTACTCCATCTGCTCATCTGCTGGATTTGAGCTTGGCTGCTGTTCAGCAGTACACAACCTCTCTCCAGCACAGTTTAAGCTATGAAGATAAGCCTGAATGAAACCACAGAACAATTTAGGGCTGGTGTAACATGAGAAGCCACAGCTTAGCTAACCTAAGCAATATTGACACTTTGATTACTTTCCTAAAGCATAAAGAAATAGCTAATGCATTGACTTTTTGTAAGTCTCCATTTGAAGACTGCAGAGAGTGAGAGGAATGCAATTAACACAAGGCACTATGACAAAAAGGGAACAGCCGAGTCCTGTGAGTTGACCCACTTGGAGGATCAAAATGAACAGTGTCTGCAGTGACAGGGCTAGAATTATGGGGTAGATTAGATAGCAAATTGCTGTTCTGTACAATGTAAATCACTCCTAAAGGCAGCGAGTCTAATTACACAATAGGGGAAAGGTTTGGCTTCCTACTGGAACAAGGATGAGCTGAGGTAGTGTCAGAAATTCACCCTGGGATGTGTCTTGATTTTTGTCTGTGTTAAAAAAAATGGAAAAAAGCAATGCTCCTTCACAGAAGTGTTCTCACCTGGAGCATCTTAGACATTTTCTAGATTTTGAAACATCTTTCTTGTCTCTAGAAATTCTGTGTTCCTCACCCATTTTATTCCTTTGCACTCAGTGAACTAAGTGCTTTTCACTCCAAAGCATAGAGCCCTGTGATATGATGTCTCTTTCTAGTCCCTTTCTGGTTTTTGTAGAAGCGCTGCACATGCTCTGTGTTACTTTTTTACCTTTTTTTTTTTTTTTTTTTACTCTCAAGGTAATTGTTCAAAGTGGGGATTCTAAAAAGAATCTAAAAAAGTAAAGTCAGATGGGGGAGGCAAAGAGGATCAGGATTTGTATGATGGGCTGTATTTTGCTCATTGGTTTTATTAAACTCTCCCATGCAGTGCATGCAACGACATTTCTCTGCTTGGCTGAAAGTCACTCTGGAGCACAGAATTGAAATGGGAAAAGCCAGAGCCTTTGCTGACTGGAGGTGCCAGCTGAAGGCCCTGCGAGCCTGGAGAAACTATACTTGGGCCCAGAAAGTAGAGAAGGAGACACAGCAACTGAAAGCTCATCTCCAAGATCAAAACAGGTAGTGACACTGTAACTGTGGAATTCTCCTACTACAACAGTACTTGAACAGGGCAGTGATCAGGGCCTGTAAAAGGGGCTTGTCAGTTAGCCAGCAGGAAGAAAACAGCAGCTTTTTGAGAAAATTGCTGCATTGCCTGCAGTCTGCCAGAGGCATTGTGGCACAGATAAAAAGGAGGACAGAGAGAAACAAGAGCTTTAGCATTTTCTTACAAGTCTGTATCTCCCTTTCTCTGTCAGTATCTTTCCTGGAAATTTCACTCTGGCTTGCTCTGGACTCCAGAGAATATGAGCTGCCAAATTTATTCCTGATTCATATATTTATTTCCTGTCTATTTTCTACTACTACTACCAGTATAGCGGAGATGATTTTGGACAGTGCCTTTCATTCAGGAGGCTGTTGGATGAATTCCTTATCATCCAGAGAAAATTCTGCTCTTGCAGGTGTCTGGCAGGCTGTGTGGTGAGGCGCTGTCACTTCCCCCTATACAGCTGGCCAGGGAACATGATACTTTATTTGCAACTGTGCTACAGCCCAGGGATGACATAGGAAATTGCAAATTGTGAACTAGGGAAACTTACTTCAAAACAGCAATCAACCTTTCTACCTTCCCACTCCTCCTTGGAGGAACTCCGTACAGCTTTGGAGGCCTTCAGAGTTAAACAACAAAAAGACTCAGGAAGATACGGGGCCTCATGCCTAGGTAGAAGCCTCACTCCTGTCATGACCCAAGTGCTTTCTCATTCAGGAAAAACCAACTGGCTGTAGAGCATAGTCGGCGTCGACTTCTGCGCTGCTGCTTTCTGGCATGGCAGCACTGGAGCCAAGTGGAGACAGAAAAGAGAGAGCTGCAGATCAAGAGGGAGGAGACCAAGAGAAAGATGGCACAGCTGCTGGAGGCTGTGTCACTGGGGCAGGGTGGTCTGGACAGGCCACTGGAGGTTAACAAGCCTGGGACAGCAGAAGTAAATCATCATCAAGATTTGCAACAAGACAAGGTAAATCCTCCCCATGTAGTTTTGTCTATTGGCATCTCAGTATTCTTACAAAGTACTTCTTTTGTGAAGTCTGAAATAAAGGGTACATTGTCCCAGAGGAAGGCTTCTTTCCCAGGGTGACCCCCAAATAACCTGCCTGCAACTGTGCAGAAGTATGAAAATCAAGAGGCAAATGTGAAGGACAATGGATGTGTTTTAAAAATAATCTCTAGTGCTGCCGGAGAACAACCCTTCATGTACTGTGAGTCGCAATGAGCATCCCACCCCCAGATGACTTTTGCTGAGAGATTAGTTACATCTTTCATGCCAGCTTAGACTTAAAAAGAATAATGCTTGACTGCATGACAAGAGATTTTTGTCATGCCAATGCAGCTCTTCAGCTATTAAGCATGGGGAAAAAAAAGAGTTGTTGCTGGCTTTTTCAGGATAATGTGCATCACAAGGAGGTAGGAGAGGAGAATCAGAGGTTGCTTCCTTAAATTGTCATTTGTCAGGTTGGATCCTGACCTTCCCTTCTGTCTATAAAACCTGTACCACAGCAGTATTCTGATCTCAGCACGAGAGCTCACACACACATTTTACAGGTCAGGCTTTTTGTCTGCTTAAGTGTCAGCAAAAGTTGATTTCCTGTTATCCTAGTAGACCCATATTTGAATTCTGATGCACTGGTAAAATTTGTGCTGGAACAATGGGACTGAATTTGGGGTTTGACCTAGGGGTCAGGAAGCAGATCTTATATCTGATGCCTCTTCAGAGAATGACCATGTGTCATTCCTCACTGTGCACCAGTTTCCTGCTAATATTTATTAAAGCTAGAGAAGAGGCATGAGGAAGCAGCACCTTGTGGACTTCTCTTCCATCTGTAAAAGGACCATTTGGTAGATCACCATGCAGGTCACTTCAACAACTGTTTTTTCCTTTATTCTCCATCTGAGTGCTGAGCAGGGACAACATAGTCCAAAAAGGAGTGTGCTAATCCCCGAAAAGCAAGCTGCCCTAAGGTGTGCTCCCTAACAAAATAGTCAGGATATAATCCTGCCAAAGCTCTTGCCTGATCAGGATTTCTTCCTTTGAGGGAAATGGCACACAACTCCTTAACAGTTCTTTCCCACAGCCTCCCATTTTGAGCATAATGGGGCTCCTCTGGCCCTACTAGGGACTGGATGAAGATTGCATAGCTGAGATAACCCTACTTCTCAGGCATCTCACTAGATTTGCATTTAAAAAAAAACACTATTAAGGAAGGGCATAAGAATGCTTGATCTTAATCAATCCCAAATTTTCCTCATTTCTTTTTTTTTTTTCCCCTAGCCAACTGAAACTTGCCTCATACAGAAAGAGCCTGATCAGACCAGAGACCACTCTTGTTGGGATGCTGTTCCCATACCACGTGTCTGCAGAAAATCCAAATTTCCCTGGGAGATTACTGTAAAACCTACAGCCCAGAGTGCCCAGGCTGTGTACAGGAATCAAACAGCCACTGGCCCCCAGCAGCTTCAGGCACCTGGTCCAAAGACATCTCCTGCTTATGGTAGCCGTTTTGAGCACCGTCATGCCTTCCAGCAACATCTGATTGAGGAGCAGAGGCAGCAGCTTCAGAAACAGCAAGAGCTGACCCTTAAACTGCAGGAAAATCAGAGGCTGAGCAGAGCTAAAGAAGAGGCAGCACAAGCCACGACTGTAACCCAGCCACTTAACAATTCTGCTTCTCAAACCAGGGAGGAAAAACAACCCAGATGCAAGAATCCAATTCCTTTGAGGTATATGCCCTCTGTAAAGCAGGGTCAGTTAGTCAGCATGTCTCATTCCCACTCAAGTTGAGCCAGAATTTGCCTGGCATATTTCAGTCATGCTAGTGCTATCTGCCCTTCTTCTCAGCTGTGACTTAGCCTCAAGGGTAGTATCAGGCTGGCTGCAGTTCTCTGTTCTTCTCCCTTTTTGCAATGGCTCAACACCAGATGATCCATATACAGGATCCATTTAGAAACAACTACACCAGTGTCACATAGTAGCAGCAGGGATTTATTTAATTACAAAAAAAGAGAGTGTCATCCTCAGTATTCCAGAACATGCGGCAGCCCTGGAACCCAGTTCCTTTGGAACTATGCATCATTAATCCCATTTCAAGCAGAAGAAAGATGTATCAGGGATTCAGAATGAAAATGTGGCACAATGGAGAACAGAAACTATAAGGCCTGTTTTGCAACCATAGGTGGTAGGTGAGAGACATCATTTGATCACATTCATTTATGAATTTCTTTACTCCTTCCTTTCACAGTGCACCTGACTCTCATGGGCCAGAAAACAGAAGGGTAGCAGTGCAAGGCAGGAGGCTCTCCAGTCGTGTGACCTCAGCATCTCGCATACTGAAAGGTATTGTTTTAGGTAGCAAAGACCATTCCAGACCACTTGGCTCAACAGTTTGTCTTGAAATCTCTCTCTTTCTTTGTCTCAGCTTTGCTGGTTAATGATAGTATGCAGTTAAAACACTGCACTTTCTTTCCCAGCCTGACCAGTGCTGTGAGAGGGTGAGCTGTTTTCATGCCCAAGTGAGTCATCTGTAAAACCTGGATCACTGCAAGCCCCACATGTCCACACTTAGTACACTATTGTAGCAGTTACTGTAGCAGTTACTTGTAACACTTGTGATCATTTCTGATGTGAGAAGACTCAGAGAGAGAAGCTTTCCAGGGCTTTATGCCGTTAGTCTCATTCCCTTTATTACACATCCAAGTGAAGCTTAAACTGGCCAGTAGTTTTCATCTGACTTTGACAGAAGTGTTGAGATTTCAAAGGGAAGCCAGTCTGGGGGAGGAGCTCCAGATCTCTGCTGTTTGTGAGACACTTCCCCTTCTCTGGCCACACTGGAACAGCATATACACAATAAACATACCACACAGCCTTTTCGTTCATAAGTTTAAATCGGGTTCTGTTACATCCCTAGGTCAAGTTCTTCCATATCAATGAGGGAGTGGTCACAGTCTGCATGAAAGGTTGTCTGGAAACTGATCATTGTGATGTTTTAACAGTTTGGGATCACCAGAGCGTTTTTGGCCATGATAGCTGGGCTTTAATAGTTGTCTTTCATTGCTTGTGTTCAGCTCCAATGCTGCATAGTCCAAGGCACCACTCAATCTGATTTGCCTGAACTCTGTATACCTTAGAGACAGTAATCATATTTTAAGGAGCACTCAAGTGCTTTTGTTTAAATATTCCCCAAAACTTCAGTGAATAAGTTGTCACTGGGTGATTTTCTCTTGTCAGAGAATCCTGGGACAGCCAAGAGGAGGAGAAGAGAATCTGAGGACACCTATTGTGTTCAAAACACTTAAATGCCCCCCAGTTATTTTTTGTTCCAGCCTGTGCTTTGTTTGCAACTGCAGAGGAAGCAAGCACAGGTTCCTGACTCCACTGCATGTTCTGTGTGGTCACATCAGCACTGGTGGCCAGCAAGATCACTGCATTGCAATTTCTCTCCCAAAAGAAGCATTAAGCAGTAGTTCCTCACTAGTGGGACCGAGTACCTGTGTGTCACTGGGACATGGATGATTTCTGTCATTAAATTGCGCTTAAATAAGCAGTTAGACCTTACTGGAGACCTCATAGCAATTGCTGCTAAATCAGGTGCCCTGAGGACCTCAGTTGAGTGCCTCAGTTAGGAAAGACAGGGATAAATCATCTGAACACAGCTTCTTTCATAACTGAGCCTCATGACTGTTACTGTAAACCGAGGAGGGAGGAATGAATCTGACTGGGGTAGTCCTGAGTCATCTCATAAATGTTTATGGGTTCCTTATTCATGACACTGCCAGCCTTAAGAGGTGGCAGAATGCAAGTCCCTGTGTGCTGGCATTGCCAGGTAAATGAGGCCTGGCAGTAGAGTGATGTAGTCATCTTTGTTCACCAAAGTTCTGCCATTATCCTGTAGCTCATTTCCACTAAGCCTTATGTTCTCTGTTGGAGGTATGGAGGAGAGAGCAATTCAGCGGGCAGAACGGAGGAGGGAACTAGAAGAAGCCAAACAACGAAGAGCGGAGGAAAAATTGGTAAGGGAAGATGAAATAAAGTCTCTTTCACACCCACCATTCCAGTTACAAGAAATACTGCTTTAACCCCAGAGTCAGGGACCAAGAAAAGGCCCTTGATCCAAAGCAGGAGTTTTATAGCTTGTGAGAAAGCAGATGTCCTTCATACATCAAAAGAAGTAGTTATTGCTGCATTTGCATATGGCGATGGCACTAGCCCTGCCGTACCATGAGCAGACACTTCATGGTGAAGTTGCAAATCTAGAAGCAGCCTTCCTTACCACCCCCAACATTCTCACACCTACCTCATGACCATAACTTGCCTTTCCTCAGAATGTTAAGGGTGGAAGTGAATGCAGAGATCCACTTGATGGGACCTGGCAGTAGCGGTGGGTTTCCCCTCCCTGCCTTTGCTGTCTGGTCATACGCAGCTTGAGGACATGGAGTCTCATCCAGTAAAAATCCTGCATCTTTCTAGCAAATCTCTGCTGAAGAGAGAAGATACTGACAATGTCTGCATAGTTAATAAATTCTGTGATACACATCCAACAGAGGAGCCTTGTTAGCTGCAGGGTATTGAGCTGTTACTGAAAACATTGCTAGTAAGTTGCATTAGAATTAGGAAGCTTAAAACTGGGGTCCTAAAACACCCAGCATTTCTTCTTCAGGCAAGAGATATGCTAACATACACAGGACTCTGAAACAAGCCTTACAGAACACTTTCACCATATGGAGTGGACAGGCAAGGTTCAGGTTAGGTTTTCTCAGCTGCAGTTGCCACAGTTGTAGAGATCAGGAAGCTCAGTTATAGTAATCATGCATGATGGTTGATTTGGGGTTTAGGCCTATGATACATACACCAAGAGCAGAAGCTTTGTGAAATGAAAGCAGAGTGAGATTTGCAAGGGTAGTAGATAAAGATGCAGAGAAGAATATTGTGCCAAATATAACCACGACTGAAGTAAAACAACCTTGATCTTTGGTGTCTGGGGAAAATATTTGGGCACCTGTAACGCTGCATTGCATGTAGAAATGAAACTTCAGAGCAGAGCCCAGGGATTCAGAACTAACTTCAGCAATCAGATTATCAATACTTGGTGTATGGTTTACATTTTTCTGAGGGAAGAGTGGACAAATACTGTAACTTAGGGCAAAGAAAGATAAAGATATATATAGGTAATAGAAATATATATATGTAGGAAAAAGAACAGTCCCTCCTTCCTCTCCCTTCCACAGTTCATTGGTGAGCACAGATCATGTCTAGTACGTGACAAAGTCTGCTTCCTTCTGAAGTTTCAGGTGCTGGTCAATACTAGAGGAATACGAGGAAACCTTAGAGGTCTGTGTTCATTGAAAAGGTCACATGCACCAAATTAAATTTCACCTTTCTCCATTTCAAGGCCCAGCTGAAGGCTGAAGAGGAAGCATGCCAGAGGAAGGAGGCCGAGGAAAAGAAGGCTCAGCGGGAAAAACGGCGAGAGGAGAGAAGGCAGCAGAAGCTGGTGACCAAACACCCCACCTATTTCTTCCCCTTTAGCAGGGACAGGAAAGAAAAGCCATTACCCACTAGTACTCAATCAGAAGCCAGAGTAATATGAACTGAAGGTCTTCACTGGTAGAGCACAGCACCCACTATAGACTCGCCACCTTCCCCCATTTTGCCAGCATTAGGGGAAGGGCTGTGTACCAAACACACTATGAAGCATACACTGTCTGTCTCATCAGCAGGACTAGAGGTCCCAGCTGGTGTAGGTTCTCTGCTGAGATACAGCCACATCAGTTCCCACAGTGGTAGCATGTTCAGTCTACTTTCAGACTGCTCCTTCCACTCATGTCCCCACTACACAGTGATACTGGTCACACAAACACACAATTTTAAAGTTATCAAGCCTAACAGTTATATCAAGGGTAACTTTCCACCTGAAGAACAGAAGCATCCTCTCCTTGGAGCTAGCCTAGGAATAGCTACACTTGATTATTGTTACTTGGAAATGAGCTGTCCTAATAACCCAAATAGCATATTTGAAATCCTACAGGAATTTGACCTACAACTACTGTTCTCCTTTGAGTGTTTTTGTGTTTTAGAATATTTGACCTTCATACATGAGTCTTGGTCAAAAGTAATATTATACAATTATATAATACCCGTATCCCTCTCCTACTGTTTAGGCTAGATTAAGTGGTAGGGTCCATGCATAAACTCAGAATAAATTTTGGACATGTTTTCCATCTAGTTTTGTAAGCACAGAAAGCTGCCCTGCCTGAGCTCACCAAAGCACCCTGTCCTACACTGATGGTGGTCCATAAAAAGGTTCCTGCTACATCAGCACTTCTGGTAGCCACAGGTGACATGTCTGTCTGCTACAATAGCACCAAACTGCAGTGCTAAGACATGGTCCAAGGAAGTGTCCAAAAATACTATCAACTCCCAGGAGAATTTTCAAGACAATTTGCTTTCTAACACATGTTCTAGTACATTGAGTCATCTCTGGTCTGCACTGCTAAAGATAATGCAGATCCCTATTTCCTGTCAGGTCAAAACCTCCATATCCAATATGATAATCTGTTGTCATTGCCTAACATCCTCTTCATCCTAAATGAATTATAATTACTGCTTTTTTGTATCGCAGAAAGAACTGGAGAGGCAGAGGAGGTTGGAGAAAGAGCAGCAGCTCCAGAAAAAGGCTAAAGATCACTATGAGAAGGTCCTACTCAGAAAGCTGGGAATAGTGCCATGGAAAAGGCTGAGGGAGCAAGCCAATGAAAACCTGGTGGTAAGTGCTGAGGATAAATAAAATGACTGGTGCAATGGAAAGAAGGGGAAAAGAATGGATGCAGCACTTAGCAGGAGCCTCAATAGGCTTTTAAGCCAGGTAGAGATGGAAAAAGCAAAAATTCTCCCTGCACACCTTGCCCTATATTATTCTTTAAATCAGCCCATCTGACAATAATCCTGAAAAGTCATCAAAACCCCACAAGGGTAGCATCCTCATTTATAGCTGATTAAACAGGAACCAAAGGGACAGAGAAAGGAAATCATTTCAGTCTAACGAGAAGTCATCTTTAGTTAGTCTCCACTTGTAACTGCCGTATGATTTGATGCCAGTAACACAGTGGGAATTAGTGTGATACAGCTCAAAAAAATAAATTGAAGTTATATGACATGAGCTTGTCAGTTCTCTTGCTCCACTGCAAAGCTAATCAATAAGACACTGCCAAGCCACTGTAGCTGCAGTAGTTAACCCTAGCCTACCATTAAGGTTTTCCCTCTGTTGGTGCAGAGTTGGCCACTCCTAGTGGCAGGACACTACAGGTGATAATCCAGCAGTCTGTTCTAGCCTGGCCATATCTTCAGTGCAGAACAGTGAGTAGTAGCTTCTGAGACCTTGAGACATGAGTGCTGCTAATGAAACATTTCCGCCTGTGACTGAATCGATATGCCTTATCAGGGTAGACTAATAACACTCAACCGCATCCTGAAGATTTCGCCAGAGCCCAGGGCTAAGTTGGCAAGCTTCCATTGAAATCGCTGGAACTGGAGCTACTTAGAGTACTTCACCAAATGCACATAGGTCTCTGGCTGGGAAGAAGTACAGGGATACAAGCTGCTCCATATGTCCACCCTGCTGGTCAGCATTATGGACAGTGTTGGACTAAACTGTTACAAGGCCATGCCTCTGCCCCATTCACAGTAGGATAAACCAAGCGTCTAATCCAAAAGGATACAGAAGTGATGCAGCAGTGGCCTGACAGACAGACTGATCTTGTAACTTGTGCTGACCTCTCTTTGTGGGATGCTCTAAGTCATTCCAGCTGTCAGACATCTGCATTTTGAGGGCCTCAAAAAGCTGAGGTGATTTTCTAGTGCAGCCAGTTTTCTGTAGATTTATATTTAGGTAGTCACTAGTCCAAGTAACTAGCTGCTATCTCTGCTGTTTTCACTCAGGTGGCACAAAGGCATCACTGTTTGGGCTTGCAGAGGAAATGCCTGATGGTTTGGCTCCAGGACACCAAGAGGAGTCTCACAGAGAAGATGTCTCGGGCTGAGGACTTCTATTCCCGTATGTTGCTGAGACAGGGCTTCAGGAACTGGCTAAAGGTTTGTCTTCACCACAGTTGAGAAATGATGCCAAGAGAGCTAGCTGCTGCCACACTTTCCCCTCACCACAGTGCCACTTCACACACCTGTAGCCCCTTTCTCCCCATTCCAGCACCATGATTCCTTTCTTCAGAGACCTTCTTTCAGCTCTTCACTCTCCATCATCTCTTTCACCCAGGATTTCTCCTGCATACTGCTCTTCCACCTTTGCACTCTCTTGCCCTGCTCCCTGCTGATTTTCTTCCACTCCTGTGCCCACTACCCTTCACTGCCACAGTCTCAGCACTGCTCTGTTTAATGGGCTGGAGGTTGGAAGAAACAAAAAGCACCGTTCTCACCTGTTTCACTGTCCTTCCTCCACAGTACAAGGATTATCTCTCCACTCAGGAGGAGAGAGCAAGTGCCCTCCATGCAACTTGCCTCATGAAGAAGTATTTCTGGGCATGGCTTGATGTGATCATGAAGGAAAAAATGACCTTACAGGAGAAGCTGAAAATTGCTACTGAACACAGTAACAAGTAAGTGTATGCCCTTGGCAGCAGTTCTTTTTGCTTGGGTTTAATATACCCTGTAGATTATTTTAGGGATTACTTTTGACAGGTCAATCATCTGCTCCCCAAGAACACATGAAACAGGTTCCATACTGCTGGCATTTTGCTTTTGTGATAGGTAGACAACATCAACATAGGTTTATGCCAAGAAGTTTCCATGCAGCCTGGAAAAAAAAATGTAGTGGTACCCTTCACAGGACTTTTAAATATGCTGAAAGAGAATACAGTGAAAGCAGATAAGTAGCTGAAACTTTCTAAGCTGATTAGCAGATCTGGCCATGCAGCTTCTGCTGAAAGCTGCCTTAGGAAAATCTTTAAGCACAATTATAGCAAGCCAAATGATTGTGCAGGAATTACACAGTACTGTTTTGTCCACAGCAGATGATTTAGTTCACAAATCCAGAGCTGATCAACTAGAAATCCTACTTAGAGTGTCTTTGAATGTATGCCTGATTTGGCAGTGCAAACTAGAGCAGACAGTTCTACCAGTCATGACTGGAGTTGGACACACCCAGTCCACTCCTTGTCCCATAAAATGCATTTTAACAGGAAGAAAAATTATTGTCAAAGTTCAGCAGAGACCAGAACGCTGTTCACCCACCTCACCATGACAGCATGCTAGCTGCATGCAGCCATGAATAGGCCATGCCTGTGCATAGCCCAAACAGGATCTGCAGCACCTTAGAGAAAGAATTAAATTAAATTCACCTCTTATGTGGTAAAGCAAACCTGTTCTAGCTTGCTGTGTCAGCGAGATCTGAACAGTGCATGATTTAACATTAGCAAGCCAACAAACTAGGGGAACCAGGGGAAATTCAGACCCAGGAAGAGACTGGATGCATTCTACACATGACCTCCTATTAGGAGCATAATCATTTGTCATTCCTCATTATCTCTTGCCCCACTGACTGGCAAAAGGCAGTTCGAACCTTGCATTGCAAACTATTCTTTAGAGTGGACTGCTGTTCCATATTGTCTATATGGGAACCCAGAGCAGGGCACCTTTGGTGGGGTGGTTAATACCAGGTAAGAACTGCAGCCCAGCTGCCTGCACTCTCAAGGGATTGCAAGCCTGCATTTTTCCTGAAGAAACTTCTTTCAGAGGCTCTGTTTATTCTTCAGAAAACATCTTTGATCTTCAGAGTGCTAAGCAAACACCAGCTAAAGAATCCTGTCAAAGGGAGGAGCAAAAGTCTTGGTGGAGAGGAATAGCAAAGGGCAATATGTTATTTTCCCCTGGTGTGATTGACGTATCGGTGGAGTGGTCTGCATGTAGATGCAGAAAGGACAGCAGAAAGGGCAAAGCCTACAGCTATTTTAGGGGCATTCCCCCCTCAAATAGAAGTCATCTTTTGATTACTGTTATGTACACATCTGTATGTTGTCACTTTGCTCCTTGTGTCCCCCATTTCTTTCAGGAGACTTGCTCTGAATGTATTCAAGGCATGGAGACAGTACCCATTACTGATGAGAGAGGAAAGAGAGAGAGAAGAAAGGAGAAACCAGCTACGCAGGAGAGTAGCTGAAATTCTCCCCAACTTCCAAAAGTGACAGAAGAGAGTCAAAGGAGATAGAAAGGAGACAAAAAGACCAGTTCTGTTCAGTGCTGTCTCCCTGCTGGCTGAGACAACTCCAAGGGGAAGTCCTGCCAAGTGCAAAGGGTCTTACAGCCAGAGGAAGTTCCCTGCAGTCACTGTTGTCATAAACTAAGCATATGTGGAAGCTTATATGACAGTTTCACTTTGCCTAGGTAACCAAAGCCTAGCATGGGGCATGTTTGAGGCCAAGGCCATTTTCACTGCAGAGCTGCAGCACTGACATGGATCCTCCTCCATCAAAGAAATCAGAGCTGAATTGTACCTCCTTTTCCTTAAGCAGTAACCTTGTGCTTTTCTGTTGCCAGTACTCTTCAGGGTGACAGCTTGAGCAGACAGACCTAACTGTCAGCTGACCCCTAACTACTACTGCAAACTTGGCTACCTAGAGCACAGTTTCTACCTAACTGTGCCAGGAATGTTTGGATGGGAAGAGGAGAGGGAAGAGCTGTTTATGCAAACCCTATTTGCTAATGATCCAAATCACAGCATTGGGTATGGACATTGTAAAACCTGGATATTTTTTCAAAGGAATGCCTTGTTTGCAGTACTGGCAGGTCACAAGCACAGTGCTTTGATTTTAGTGGCAAGTGGTGATTCCAAGTTTATGAGCCTCAATTGTCTTGTGTTTTAAATGCTTCCCAAGCTGTTCAACTGTATTTCAGGGTGTATTGGGCAAGTCTTTCTGGGCTGTTTCACTTAATGCAATACTAAGAAGAAAAAAAAAAAGAGACAAAAGCCCAAGAAAATAGCACATTGTATTTTTTACATAAGCTAAAGCTGACATGATTAAAATGAAAGTTTCTTACCACTGTTTAACCTTAACCTGCAGTATAATGCAGACAGGGTAATGCTGTTAAGGTACAGTATGTCTTAGCAACAGCATAAGGCAGGAAGCTGGAATCGCTTCCCCCTCACAACAAGATAGGCAAAGCTCTCTCCAAAAGCATTTGGCAGCACAGGAAGTACTTGAGTAACACCAGGATGACTATAGTTTACTGTTTATCTGTTGTATCAGATAATTTTTTAAACCCATATACGCACTGAAGGTTTCCAACAAACCAAAATCTGAAATGAACACAACTGAGTTGTTGGTGCAAATTGTGTCAGAAGCCAACTGAATGGCACCAGGTGGAGGTCCACGGTCAGGGAGCTGGACCAGCACTAAGCACTGCAGATCAAGTGGTGTAGGACAGGTCAGGTGCCCAAGTGCAGTGACAGGCTCCAGAGCTTTAGCACTGGGTAATTGTCCATGCAGAGAGCTCACAGGGATGTGGTCAGAGACCCTCCCTGCCTACACAAGCCAAGCAGGTTCTTAGTGCAGGTCCAAAGACAACTACTGCCACCCCACTCCCAGGTTACCTCCCACAGCCATCCTCTGCCACCCAGGAACAGTCACCATCTCCCAAAGCTCCTTACAGACCTGACCACCAGCAGGTCAGACAAGCGCATTATCCAAGCACAGAGAGCTGAAGGTGCCTGCATGGAGTGTGGGCGAGTACAGACCATCTGGCTACATTAAAAGGCAGATTGTGAGAGGAAGTGACAAGCTGAGAGAGGGCTGAGTAACTTGTCTTGCGGGGAAGAACGGGCACTGCTGAATGGTAGCATTTTTCACAGAGGACTGAGCCAAACAGGCAGGGAGGAGCAGAGCTGGGGGTTGAGCTACCGAAGTAATGCCCCAGTGCAGCCAGCAGCCACACTTGATGCTAACAGCAGCAAGCTATGGCAGCACAGCAACAGCAATTCACTTAGTACACTCTTCCCCCTTGGAAGCCTCTCCCACGTAGTGCCTAAGGAGCTCCTGGAACACCTCTGAACCAGGCATTATGCTCCCATATTACTGCTGGCCTTTTCCTAAGCTGAATTCCTCCTTACTGGGGCTTGACAATGAACACAGCAGGGGAAGTCTTCAGCCCACCTTCGGTCTGGATTCACAGCACAAGGAGGATAGTGACCCAGAGGATGAAAGATGAGGACAAATCCTTTCTCAGGTAGAGGGAAGGCAGCATTACAGCCAGCCAGGGACAGGAGACTCTGCAGCTGTAAGGGGAGTGGCAGGAGTATGGAGCAGTAGAGTGGATGTTCCTGCACACAGCCTGGTCTTGACCCTAGTGAGAGGCCGAGCAGGTGTTAAATCTGCATCTCACAGCTAGAAGGGTGCCTCAAACCACTGGCTACTCAGGGGTGCATCCACTTGACTAAACTGCAGATTCTTTCCCCAGCAATGCCACGCTTGCACATTTTGTCCTCGAGGTCCACAGCTCCCACTCATCACAGTGCCCACTCACCACCCATGAAAATAATGCTGCTTTATGTGAAGCATAGTTTCTCCCAGAGAACCTGGAAACACAGTCAACACTTTTGAAACTGGCCTTTGTCACCAGTACTCTCACCTTCCAGGGCCACCTTTTATTCTTTAAAAGATTCTTCTGGCAAGATTCTCTGTGGTTGAAGAGTTCCAGCAACAAGAATCCAAAAGGAGATCCAGAAGGAGCTGTGCTTTGACACCCCTTTGCCTACTGCCAGTGCAAGCATGGAGCTGAAGCTTCAGCTGCATCCAGCTAAAGGATAGGGAAAATGTTCAGGGGTCAGGTGCATTCATACTGAATGTGGTCTAATTCAAAGGGGAGATGAGAAGCCCCTTGACTTCCCCATTCAACCCACACTTGGCTGAAACAGCTCATGCCTCCTTGGCAGAAGCCAGGCTGTGCCAGATGATGCTGTTGAGAAAATGCACATGATACCCCTAAAATTCCTGGCATGATGTTTGTGTTTTGCAAATTGAAGCTCCAGCAGGAGGGTGACACGTGAGAGAGCTTTTCAGACCAAGGAAACAGCTTCAGGCTGCAGCTGTGCCAGAGCATTCCTCCTGCTCCAGCGCTTGGATACATATGGATGTCAATGCCTTAATGCTGGTCATCAGCCCACACTCTCATAGCTCAGGCACACTCCTGCCTGTCAGCTCCTTGCTTTTCTTAGCAAGAGAGGGAGGTGGCTGCACAGCCTGACTTTCCTTCTCCTGCACAGGGAGGGAAGGAGGATTTTCACTTTGGTACAGCAGCAAATGCAGAACCCTGAAGTGATTGCAAACTCTCCATCCTCTGCTGACACCTGCCCTCCAGAGTTCTTATACAGTTTCCCAAACAACCTTGACCACAGAAATACCTTCTTCTCATTAAATCTGTCCACCAGTCTTTTCAAAGCTCCCAGGCCCAACTCAAACTGAATCTGAAACAATGCCTGAAGTATTAAACAATTTCCTCTGCTCCCTCCAGGCAAACAAGGCTATAGCTGGGGACAACAGTTAGCCTGGGAAGGGTCTGTGAACCACTGCAGTGTGTTCCACAGCTCACATCTTTGCAGACCTGTTATGCATTAGGGACACCAGCACAACAGTGCACCTCAGCCTTCCCCAGCACGAGCTGCTACATCAGACACAGTCCTGCTCTGCAGGGACAACACGGCAAGCTACAAGGGGGAAAAAAAAAAATAAAAGCTAGGGAGAGGCAGAAGCTTCACGTGTCCCCATCAACAGCACTGGTGTTAACAATGCCAGTCACTGCACACACCACTCTCACCTAACTAAAATCCTGGTTCACTGCTAGTGCAAGGTCCTTGTCAGCATGTGCAAAGTAATCTTCAAAGAGAAATAGCTGAACAGCAGACAGAAGTGCCACCCAGGCAAATCAAAGCAGAGTTCTGGAACAATCAAAGGCACCTGTGATTCTACTCATTAAAAGTCATCTTGCCTTTCAGCAGCTGTCCCAAGATACCAACAGAATCAAAGGCTACAGCTCTTCCCACTATCTGCATGGAGAATACCCATGTCATTTCCAAATATGGCTTAGAAAAGAGTTTAAAGTCAGAGACTGTTCCTTTATGGGGCTCTGGATGTATTATTATGTGGCAGGTGCCAGAGGGAAAGCAACACTCTGGACAAACAGACTATGAACTTGATTGGATACCGATAATAGATCGCTCATAGGATGAAAGATCCCTGTTCAAATTTCTACTGTGGGGGAATATAATCATTAGTTTCCAGGGTGGTGAGAGCTGCCAGCAGGTCTCGGTTTCATCCCAACATCCACAAACCCACAGGTCAACTTTTGCAGAACTGGAAGAACACTAGTTTCCTAACATCTCCTTAGCCTGTTGTTCCTTTATTCTCAAGTCCAGCTCACAACTAAATAGTAGCTTTTGGTCATTTGGCTTTGCTGAGTGCATTGGCATAAATCAACAGGCCACTCCACAGATTATTTCCAATAATTTATTTTGATTCTAATTGTATCCATGTGGAAACACTATGATGCAAAATGGACACAAACATACACACACACCAGCCCTTTCAAAAGTAAGCACACAAATGTTTCACAAAGTTTCTTCCTAAAGCTTAGCTTAAAAAACTCCAAAACCAAAACACCCCATCCTCCAAGGCAGACAGTTCTTCCAGGGCCCATCACTCTTCACATCATCATTAGAGGAGTTCCAAAGAGACAAGGTCTTGGGAGGCTGAATTTCCACGTTTCAGAAAGAACCTCACCTGTCTGCAGAAAGATTTTTGCTGTACAAACATCCTGGTAGTAGAAAAAGAATCCTAGGTGACTGTAGAATTTTTCACTGGAAGGAATACAGGAAAACACATCCATAATCACACACACTTCCTGCCCTAATGAGGCAATATACATTCATATAGAAGGAAAAACCCAAGCAGATTATTTAAGACATTAGGCAGTCAGGCAGTATCCATTTTATCTTCAGAAGAAATTTTACAGCAAATGGTTTCATTAAGACACTTGAAAGCAACCTACTTTGAAGGAAAAAAAAAAAAAGCACCATCATAGCATGAAGGCTGAAATGTGATTAGGAGTCACAAGCAGCACCAGCTCGGGCTTACCAGTGACTTTTGTCATTTGAGGACAAGTTAAACGGAGAAACAGTCGATGTGGGAACCTGTGACTTGCCTGCAAAAACCCCACAATGCAGTTAAAGAGTGCCAAACCACCACTGACAGGGTGTATCTAATGGTGCACAGTTCTCACTACAGTCACCAAGCAGTAGGGTGCTGGCATTAGGACATGGAGGATGTAACACTACAGCAGCAGCAGCATCAGAACTCTGGCCCCTTAAGAGCTGCCCGGTCTGCAGAGGTCCACACTATTTGTGAAACAACAAATGCCTCTTAAAAGGTCACCGTTAAAGCAGGATAAACTAATTTCCAAGTCTGGGCAGAGAAACATTACTAAAATCCTTCCCTGATGACGGATTAGCTCTGGGTCCTCTCTTCTTACACAGGAAAAACTTCTCAAGGGCCAGCAGGGTGCTGTTTTCCACACTGCCGGGCATACAATTTTAGAGGTGAGACACTGGTCCTTGCCTCAAGGTTATACCCATGGGCCACAGGTCACCTGCCAAATGCAGGCTGCTCCCACTGCTACAGCCCCGGGGCAGCTACTGACACAGTGAGCTCGAGGACTGACTTTTTATGCCTAGATTTTAACATTTTTCTACCAGCATGGTCAATAATAAACTCAGCGAGAAAACACTCAGAAAAACAATTGTGCTTCAGTGCACAAGAAATCACAATGGGTTGCCCTTGCTACAACTGCAAAAAGGAGCATTTACCCTCCAAGGGTTTCCTGCTAATTCTCAGGGCTGGTAAAAGGAGAGCTTCCAAACACGCATCTGAAGCTGGAAACGCTTCCGCCCATTTAGATATCCTGTTACTTTATGCTTCCCATCTCCCAAGGCATTCACAAGGTAAATCCTCTCAGGCAGAAGAGGTAAACAAAAGCCGTGACTTTGAAGAGAACATCAGTATAGCTATGCAGATTACAGCCACATTAACTTCCTGTTCACTGGGGAATCAGCACTGCTTTTTCCTCCTAGGAAAAGCCCAGCCTTGCAAGCATTTTAGTGTCCTGAATGGCTTCAGTTATCCCTGAAGTGAGAGCAAAAGTAAAATGTACTTTAGCACTTTGCCCCCACTACACTGGAGCAGGCTTGACCAAGGTATGGAATGGTTACATTAGTCCCAGGTCCTTTGTTCCTAATCTGCGTTCCAAAGTCCATGCTGCCTGGAAGAACAGCACTGAGAGAGCCTTGGTGTAAACAATTGAAATGAAACCTCCCACTCCCCAAGGGCTCACTGAGAGAAGGGACGAGGCTACACTGACAGTCAGGCTGCAAAGTAGCAACCATCTCTGCCCGTGGGAGAAAGTGAGCACCAGAGGGTCAGCACTGCCAGGGAAACGACCTGCTTCTGCTTTCTCCCAACCAGGAGTAGCAGGACTCTCAGAAACCACTTATCTCAAACCTGCAAATGCTCCCAGAGTTCGTTCAGCTCGTGGGCATGTGACTGAGTTCTGTGCATACAGCTCACAGAGGCAGAGAGGTTGGCTGTCTCCACTGCAGGGGTTCATTTAGCCCAGGAAGTCATTCTGCCTTAATGTTCCCCAGCACCAGCAGGATGAGAACTGAGGAGATCACAAACCTGCTAGCCCACAGCATCCTTGTTTCCAGCGCTGACAAGCTCCAGCTCATCTCAGCAGGCACCACAAAATGCATATGTGTTATGGAAACATTTACAGACAACTCATGTGGAAGCAAGAACTTTGTGTCAAATTGAACTCCTAGGGTCAGGCTCCAAGCTCCAAACAGAACGCTGTAGAGAAACAGCTTGCACAGTCCAGCTGGGTGCCTTTTTCTTCACATTAGGGCCAGGGAAGCAAAGTTCTTGGTGTGTTTGGTTCTAGGCAGGAAGCAAGAAAGGTGTCCCTTTACCTCCTTATAAAGGACTGCTCACTGGATGAAAAAGGGCAAGAGGAAATATGGAAAACTCAGTCAAGTGACTCTTTCTGCACAGTCACATTCCAAGTGCAGCTGCTCTTCAATTATCTGCTGGTTATAGAAAGTGCCACTTAAGGAAACCAAACAGTGCAAAGAGGGACACGGTCTTCACCTTAAACTGGGACAGGTAATCGGAGCACACACACCAAATCTGGCATGGATCTCAAGGGACACCCCCAACCTTGCTTGCTTTTGGCATCATGCACCGTCCATCCTTTCTTCAAAGCTAATGCACAGGAGAGCACAGTGAATTTGCATCACTGCCAACATCCCCCAGCTGCCTGCTATGCAAGTGCAGTCAGGGGTAGGCATGATCTGTGCATGCTGCATGCACATTGAAAAACATCAGTAACTAGGACAAGGCTCTTCTCTCTGCTTCTGCATCTTAGGCACAACCTGTAACTCTTGTGCTGTGGTCCTCAGCTCCTCTAGCCAGACCTTTCATATTATGGCAGGGCCAACAACATACATAAAGGGTTAAAAGCAAAAAAAAAAAAAAAAAACCCCACCCAAAAACACCCCACTCACAAAAAAAACCCTCAGAAACCATTGCCACCAAACCCTGTTATTTCAGGTGAAGCTCAGTTCCAGGCAATGACACAGTTGCAGGCTACCAAGGAACAAGTAGCATTCTTGCAGAGCACATTTAACATACTCTTTCACCTGCCAATAGAGGTCATCTATCCAAAAACAGACACCTCCAACACATCCTCTCCCTCTCCCTACACACACAGAGGCTGACCTGTTCCTTGGCTTCCTGGCTTGAGAAAACATATCCATAGTCAGGCAGCTCCCCAGTAACTGGGTTGAGAGGAAAGGATCGCTATGTTATGAACACCACAACTGACCAAGATGCTACCTACCAAAAATGCTGTAGTCAGAACTGCCTTCTCTCACAGAGACTTCCTTCTCCCATAGATGGAGGGAGAAAGGTAGTTTCCATAAAGCTACAGTAACACCAGTTGGACAGCATTCTTGTTTTGCCCTCAGAGTTCACTATTACATGTTGCCTCAAGGTAACTCCTTACTTGGTGTATTTACCTGTGTCCCATGTCATAACCCATAATCATATCAGAGCAGAATGACTTTGATGGAGATGAGCCAAATCTTCAAAACAACACAGACTGAATTTGCAGAAAAACAGCAGGATGTCTTCTCACTCAGACAGAAAAGGATGGAATAACAACTTTAGGGGTCAGGAGGCAAAGGGATCTTACAAAGCCCTACAGGAACGTCGCTCACAAAGGCACTTAATAGAAGCATGTATACAGCTGGATGGAATAACAGATAGTTTTTAAAAAATAAAATAAATAAATGCACCAGAGAGGAGAGAGATGCTCAGTGACTGCCTAGACAGTCTCTTTTAGCCAAAGAGCCTGGCTGCTGCAGGAGTCCATCTGTTACCTGTATCCAAACGTTCACCCTCCTGGCATCTCCAAAATGCCACACACAGGTACAAACCAGGGATTCCATAACCTCTGCAGGACCCAGCGCACGCTCTGATGCCCAGCAGTGTGTTCCTCTTGATGCCAGGGGTTCACACCCAATAAAAACTCAAGTTCTCAAAACTTTGTGCTCTTCTTCCCATTTCCCGTGGCGGAAAAAGGCAGCAGGCTCCTTCTCTCCAGGTTTGTGCATATGGCTTACTGCTTTCTGCATCCTATTGCTGGCTGACAGTATGTGAAGAACCATTGTGCCTGGGAAAACCTCTGATGTTGTCAGTGCTGGGACAGGCAGCCCATACACCAACCGCAAAGGAAGGGCGTGTGAGGAAGGAGTCCTAATGGAAGGGGCCACTCCCCTGCTAAAGACAGTCAACATCACCTGCAGAAAGAGGGGTGTCACACGATGTCTTCAGCACAGCGCTGTGGAGGAGAAGACCCCAGGCTCAAGAAATGGCCCCAGTTGCATAGGAACCCCCTATTATACTGGCCAGTGTCTATCACTAACCCACCCAGGAGTCTGCGCCCAGTGTTGTCCCGCAGAGCCAGCCGAGCTTCCCTCTCGGTCACGTTGTAGCTGATGTTCAACAGCTGGATAAGGAGGATGTATCCCATGCCAGCTGTTACAATGGCACAGTACCACACACAGGTGAACGACAGAGCAGAGCTGGCAGCAGGGAAAAAGATGGGAAGGAAGCCATTTAGTTTTGGAGCAGCTGCTTTAGATTGACTTTCCCTGGTAATCACTATCCTTTTCAAATCCCTGTCTGCATCTGCCACAGTGATCTCACTTTGCTGCTTTCATCAGATAATCCTTAAAGGCTTTCTCAAAATTAAAGCTTCAGGGCTTACTTAATGAGAGCTTTTAGTGTTACCAGAGCTACTCTTGCACGTTGCTATCACACAACCCAGCTCTTTACTCATACTGTTGTAAAGATGCTTGGTCCTTATTTAAGGACATAAGGATGCTCACACTCGACAGGTCATGAGATGGAGTACAGAGGAAGGTAGAGACACTTGTGCAGCAGCAGCATGCTCTGCCCATCAGCAGTGGTGCTGGTCTCCCACCTCATGTCTCACAGTTCTCACCACTCTCCCTACCAGACAAGGCATGTGTTAACGCTGTCTGTTCTAGCCACATAATTTGGAGGGACAGACACTACAGTGAAGAATGAGAGGGAGAGACAGCATCTGGATTCCAGACTGTCAGACCATTACCTGCATCTAGGGGCAAACATGTAAGGGTGTATCTACATACATAAATACTTCAAATCACAGTTCCTCCGACAACTTTTTCCAAATAAACTTTGAGCTCTCTCCAAGTCTCAGACTCCTCACCTTTGCAAAAGCAGTGATGCATCTTTGCTTTCCAGAGCTTTTTAGGAAATGCTTTTTGGGAAATGCTTTTTGGTCAGGTTTGACAGCCAACAGCATTGCTCTAGAGCACAGAATGAGGAAGAGGAGCTAAGCTGCCTCACCAGGCCTGTTGCCACCCCAGCTCTCTCCCAGACAGACATCTCACCTGTAGTCAGAATAGGCTCCAGGGCAGTAGAACAATGCCACAAACACAGTTTGGCCCCTACAGACAGTGTGCAGAGTCAACGTAATTCCATACACAGAAGTGAGCATGAAGAAGGAGAGTGCAAGGATGAATGCTTGATGGTTCTGCTCCCCTACGCAGCTGTTAATCCTCCAAAAGGAAAGAAAAGATTACTTTGCTTAAAAAGAAAAACTGGCTTCTCTTTCCTCCTCCCTCCCCCAGCTGTCAGAGAACCTAATTTCCAAGGTGCTTCTATACAATGCAGGCTAAGAACTGAAAAATGTGTTCAAAGAAGCTTTATAGCTTTTTCTATAAAAGTTACGAGCACAAGTCAATAGACCAGCAGGGGAAAAGCAGCAGACTGTTTGCTTCAAACGTTTAGCAAGTGTATCCTTTGCTGAGGCACGTCATTCCCTACTGCTCCTTGATTCCAGCACAACATGAACACAGGCACCTCCGGGTTCCCTTGCCCCAGGAGAGCACTAATGCAAGTTAACTGCAGCACTTCTAGTGCTCCACAGGTCAAGTCTAAAGAAATCAGACAAAACACACCCAAAAACCCCCCACACCGATGAAAATCAGTAGAAAACCGAAGGCAATTCTAAAGTATGCTGTAGAAGTTATCAGCTATCAGGTCAACTCACTTAGAATAAGCAGTTATTTTAAGTGTTCTTTAAAACGATAAATACAAAGGGGAGGTTGTATTTAAAGAATGTCACCAGGTCTTGCACATAATAAAAGCAATCCTATTTGATAGGGAATGCAAAAAAAAAAAAAAAAAAAGAAGCTAACTTAGAAAAGGAGGGAACTCCTTTTTTAAGCAACAGGGAGGAGAGAGGGAGAGGGAGAGAACACATGTAGCCTCAGCAGTGCAAAACCTACCAGACACAGTGATGGTCCAGCCTCCTTACACACCTGCCACAAAGCCTGCAGTGCCCAGCTCGGGCTGGTCTAATCAGCTGGCACTTAGTGCACCAGTCCTTTTTCACACCTTCTGGCTCCTCAGCTGACATCCTGGAATAGCCTTTGGCCTCCCCGTTCACAGCACGACTGCTGGCAGCACCTGCCGTGCTGATGCCATGGAGCCCACTGGAGCTCCCTCTAACACTCTTGTTGGGCAAACCCTGGTGCAACAGCTTCTCTGGGATGTCTGCTGGGATGGGAAGGTAACCAGGGTCTCTCTTGGCTCGAGACAGGGCCACAAGCATAAGGATTATCCCGCAGGTGAGAGTGACCACTTGGGAAAACCCCACGTGGCCTCGAGGAACCACCTCCTGGAGAAACACATAGTACATATAGCCTAAGGAGAAGAGCCCCAAGCTCAAGAAGAAGAGAGTCCGTTCCTTCCTTCGGTGTGTCAGGTAGTAATACCAGAGCACCACCACGGGCAGGGACGTCAGGATGACCAGCCCCAGCAAAAAGTGCAGTGCAGCGACGTGGAGGAAAACAGGCAGCAGGACGAGAGGCGGCACAAGGCTGACATTGATCCTCACAGCCCCCGAGAACCAAGGCACCCGCAGCCGATCCGCGATGGTCTCAACGATCCTCTCCAGCGCCCCGGGGGGCAGCGATTTGCACGTCAACCACCTATAGGCGAGAAAAGCACAACGGAACACCTAAACAGAGCCGCACCCCCATCCCTCCCCCTTCCACCCTCCCGAGGAGAAGTTT